AATGGCCTCAAGTTGCACCAGGGGAGGTTTAGATTGGACATGGGGAAAAATTTCTTTACTGAAAGAGTGGTTAAACATTGGAACAGGCTGCCCAGGGAAGTGGTTGAGTCACCATCCCTGGAAGTATTTAAAAGACATGTGGATGAGGCGCTTAGGGACATGGTTTAGTGGACATGGTGGTGTTGGGTTTACAGTTGGCCTCGATCTTAGAGGTCTTTTCCAACCTTAATGATTCTATGAAAATAATTATGTATTCAGATGTATTAAAAATATCTAACACCATAATATGTATATTTTATGGTCCTTATGCTTTACTAGATTTTGCAAAAATCCAATTCAATTAACAACATTAGCACTAGCAATTAGCATGCTGCCAGGAACATCAAGATTTGTATACAAGTATCTCTGCATGCCATCATTATGGGTGTTCATGTACTTCAAAAAGAAGATTAAAAGCATGATTGAAGAGGTTGTTAATGTTTTACATGAAGGTTCTTTTCTTTTAGTTCATCTGGTTGTACAAAAGCTCAATTTGTTGATCCATCACTTTTCTGATTAGTCTGATGAATGAAGCATTGACTTACGTCTGCATATTTCTGTGGTATAACATGATTGCATTCATTTAACAATTAATCAAAGACAATGACATACTTAGGAATATATAATTTAGTTTTGCTTATCAGTTTGCTTAGCAAGAGCAAATTCTCAGGCTCCTGAAAATTAAATAGTGCAACATAAAATGATAGAAATGTCTTGTTTTGATGTAGTATAATTTGACTGCCTAAACACACTCTAAATAATTTATTTCCAGATGCATTAAAAGCTATGATTTCTTCTTTTCACTGGCAGTTTAAATAAACTGAAGGCCAAAACCAGTTTTAACTTCATTTTCTTTCTAATTAGTTAGGATTTTTTTTCAAAGCTTATATCAAAAATGATAACTTTTGTTTTCCAGATACTATGTAGCATTGGTCTACATCATATAGTTGCTTTTGCCTTTTAATTAATTTTAGTTTACATTAAAAACTATCACCACTATAAAATAAAAAACACTTTATTAAAATAATCTTTGTAACCTAACCACAAAAACTAAGGGCTTAATAAGTTTACCATCTTTTAATACTTTCACTATTTATATAAAACAAAAATATGTACAAAGCCCTTTTAAAGTACGTAAGAAAGATTACTAGATAAGTATATGGTATGAAATTACATTAATCCATTATTTTTATGCAAGTGCTCATAACTAAGTAATATCTGTCTTAGAACTTGTTCCCGTTGACTTTAACATTGCAAGGTTAAGATCTAGAAATAAAAATGCATTACTATTATATTACTATAAAGTATTCAGATTTAAATGAGTGTTTTTCCTAACTATATAGCTTTGAAACAACAATCTTCATACTGTATACGGGCTTAACAAAGATACAAAAGGAGAAACAGCATTTGCCCTCTTGCAATTGAGGAACACTTCTGCTGCAGACCTTCAGCTAGAAATCTCAAATAAAGCTTACTCCAACCCTCTCAAATAAAAAAAAGACACTTTAATACAAAACCCCAGTACAGTTTCCCAACTGTTTTAGCTGCAGTTAGAATATTTTCCTATAAAAGCAAAGGTTGCATAAAGCTCAGCCAACTTTTCACTTTTTTTTTTTTTGGTCATTTTGTGCAAAATCTGTGAGGTCCAGGTATCATGTACTTAAGCCCGCACAGATCCACAAGAAAAATGCAACCGTATGCACTTTGGGAGAACCCAACACATGCTGCAGTGAAAAAACAGCAGGAGCCCAACTCTACTTGTATGAGAGTCCTGGATATTCTCAAGAGCTGAAGGATTTACCTGTCCACTTTCTCCTACTGCAATTATTTTAGTCAAGTCTGATACACCTCTTTCCCATTCATTGCTCTCACTCTCTCAGGCTTACAGACTGCTTGGAATCCTGCTCATCCTCACGTTAAAAGACAAAGTCCAACTCTGCAAAGGGCTACCAGCTAGACTTCTAAGAAGCATACAGGTACATGGCACTCCTTGATCTCAGTGTTGTCAATGGTCTAAATATTTTTAAACTCTAAATCTGTAAAATGTGTGCAAGTTTGATGGGCTTTTTGGTTTTGTTTTTTGTTTGTTTGTTTTATTGTCCTCAAACTCTGACTTCCAGTTGAAGAAAAAGGCATTTGGCTCCCTTGACAGTTGAAGCCTCATCACAGTTAAATTGTACATAGAGCCTTGTGCAGGAGAGACTATTGCTTTTCAGCTGCTGTTGGCTCAGTTATGTAGCCTCCGAACAAAGGAAAAAGCTAGGTACTTGGAATTTATTTTTAAACTTGCTCACAACCAAATGCAACTGCAAAATTCCACATCCACATAAGAGAAGACAAAGCTTCTGAATACACTCAGAATTAACTTTCATCAGTTACAAATGCTGTTACTTTACACACACAATCAACTGTGGGGATAAAGCAAAGTCTAGGTTATTTAGCTATTGCACAGCCAAGAGTCAAAAGGGTAGTATAAGGGTTTATTTCAGAGCACTCAGACTCATGTTCCTATAATTATTAGTACTTAAGAGTTTGAGTTATTTTTCCCTTCAGCAACTCCTCTACTAAATGAAGTGGATTTTTGCAAATGAGACACTGCTTGTCTTTCAGTCACAGCATAATGCAGTCTATGCAATAAATTCTTTCCCACTGTGTGCTTTGCAATTACAATTCCTCACTGATACCATAACTCAACACGGTAATAAAAAATAATCAGTATTTATCTAGTGCCTGTGGATTAAAACTTTTCTTACACTGCTGAAGCAAAGCAGAAGTTAGCTGGTTTTAGAGGTTATGAAACGTACCCAGACAAGGAGCAACAGATTTCTTTTCACTGTTCCACAGTAGCCCAGCATCCCAACTATGATGAGGAAACAGCAGACTGCAATCATGACCGGGTGGACCACAGGAAAGTAGGTCAAAATGACAGCCTCCTCCACCCTAAAACCAATCAGAACCATAACCAAAAAAAGCATAATCACACAAAAATGATACAGAAGAAAAACGTAACATAGCCATTAAAACAAAACCGGTGGATTAGCAGATGTATTCTTTCCAGCACCTTACACATGTCACAGAAATCTCTTCTACCTGGTTTTAAAGTCAAATGCTGCATTCAGGTACCAGAAAGTAATGTATCGTCCGAAATCTTTTTGGAGCAACAGCGATCTTCCTGTGCTGCACTTGCACAGTATGTAGCACAATGAGGCCCTGTTCCATCACTAGGGCTCATAAGCACTGCTGTAATAAAACTAACAGCATTCCTAAATCCTTGGACTGATTAAAGTATTCAAAACTAAACAGTAATATAATATGTTGGCAAAGGGCCAAAAATTGATCCCTGTCAGAAGAGAAAGGCACAGGAATAAAACAAGATTGAATTCATTTATTTCCCCCTTCTCTAATTTCAACTGATGCCAGAAATGGTGGCAAAAATACACCTTTCAACAAAACAATAATTAGCTCAACTGAAGGCTTCTTAATTCAGAAATCCTAATTAGGAAACTTGCCATACAGAATGAACGACATATACTGCAATCAATCACCCACACAGATTAATAGGTTTAAGGAAAGCTTTACCTTGTTTCTGCGGTTAAAGTGAGAACATTATTCAGGTAGTCTCTCATCCAAGCAGAAACACCTAATACGCTGATGGACATCAACTAAAAAGAAAAGATGAAGTTATTTATCATGAGTTTAAAAAAAATTGCAAGATCATTCATAATTTAAGTAGAGGATCAATCATCAGTACATCTTTCATGCATTCATTTATCCAAACAGTATACTGTCCCCCAAACTGTACTTCTATATGCTTAGAGTTGGTTTGTTGCCCAAGTATTTAGGGAGACAGTGACAATAATCTTTTCTTCCAGTATGCATAATTAATGCCTGGAATACCTTCTCTTCTACCCCATGATGCCACTGCTGGCTCAAGTCCCACCGCTGCACACAACGTACCACAGAAACAACAGGGAGGGATTATGCTGCTAAAATCAGCAACTCTTTTCATGGCTCACAGGTGATATCCACCAGTCTGTATGAAACCACGAAGCCATGCTCAGGTACACAGCCAGTGAAGAATAATCTGAAGCCACATACAGGATACAACAGTATCGGTACACTCACACATAGGAGAGGAGATTTATCTCAGGGTTAAATTTAGAAGAATCTGATTCTCTTGCTCATTCAGATAAAGTCACACCATGAACACTATGCCTCAGTTTCCTGAACTGTAAAATGACAACAAACTCACTGCACTTCAATTATAAACCCCAGATCATCAAAGCGTTTGGGTACCTAACCTGCCAGGCACTTGAAAGGCATAAAGCCACTACACTTTCACCAGGACTGCTCCTATGGCAAGTAAATCCCTGAGACTGAACCCACCCAGAATTGCCACCACCTCAGCAGAACCAGATCTCTGTCACCTGATGCCATCATGCACTCCAGCACACCTGGGATCTACCAGTAGAAGCTCTGGCCTCTGATTTTCTTGAGAAGCCAAACCTGAACAACGTGATCAGAACATACCTGCCACACCGTGACAGCACCAGCTCTTCTGCTGCTGTAGCAGAAGTACTGCTAGAGGACAAGGCATTCTTCAACAGCACTTGTCCATGTGTTTTGCACTGGGCTAGATAAGTCAGTAGGCCCTTCCTCCTGGAGGAGGGCTCACGTAACAGCGGCAGTCATCCCCACCTTTGTGCATGCCCTCTGGCCCCAAGAACACCACGTGTCCTCCTGCACGCACAGGACAGATGGAGCGCTGCTCCCCAAACAGACGGTGAGAGATGCAGCTATAAACTCCTTCGAGGAGGGGAGCTTTTTTACAAAATGGAGCAGTTAAGGTTACTAATGCCACTGCTTACTTCTCAAACCATTTCAGGGAATTCAGTTGGTTTATTACACCCAAAGGAGAATTTAGGAATATCAATCTCACATGGGCACCTAAGCCTGAACCGCAGTTCAGGGGTTAAACCTGGCAGACTCAGGACTTCAGAAGCACCACTGTCTAGCTGAGGGAGGGAGGGAGATCTAAGCATGCTGGCTCTCCTGAATACTACTGTTCTCATGCATTGTATAGGTTTATGCCAGGAAACCTCAGCATTATTGAGGATTATTATACTAACAGCTTCTTAAATCAGCAAGAAGTGCTAATCTTCCCTGTTGCCTTCAACAGCTAGCTTCCCACACGCCCTCATATTTCCCTAAAGTTGTTACGAAGAACAAGTTAACTGGTTCAAACCTAACATGTAAGAAAAGTCGCTCTGTGTCCTTACTGGCTCCTTTGCCTGCAGCACACCCACAGCAGGCTACCTCTGCCATTAAAATTTCAAAAGACGTCCCAGTGGCTACCCCACAGCTTCTTCCTGCTTTTCAAAATGATGCACAAATTACAAGCACTGCCTTGGTTCTGGGTGGTGCCAGCAAGAGCCCTGGGTGCTCCCAGTGAGAGCCCTGGGTGCTCAGCATGCTGCAAGCATAGTCCTGAAAGCTAGTGCATGCTACAAGTCTATAATGTACACGCAAGTCCTTTATGTTCTGTGGGATCTATTTTGGCTGGTGGAACAGTAGGAGTAAAGAGTGTTTTCTGTTGTGTTATTTGCAGGAAGCTGCAAGAGCAAGGAAAAGAAGACGACTAGAATCTCCTCCTAGATAAACTCTTCAACAACGGCTACCTCCTTGGATGAAAGCATCAGGCAAATATACCACACAAGCCGTAAAAAACATGTTTCTAACACAAAGAGAGGTAAAGAAGACTACAGGCAGCCAGCCTACCTTCTTATGGTCAAAAAGCAACAGAAAACATTTTTAATCCTCCACATCTTCCTGCAAGGCCTGCTGATCACACAGAGAATACGTTAGCTCACTCTTCCACCCCGTTTATAGTAAAGTAAGACAAATTTGGTTACTTTGCTTTATAGCAGTGGCACTCAGGAGTGAGAAGTCCATCAAAACCACACTCCTCAGCAACTTTTAATAAGAGCCGGATGGTCCTGCTACAAAAACCGTACCAGAAAAATGTTCACTTGCTAAATAATACTCTTCCTCCCATACCAGACTGGTAGACTGCCTAGTCCCCACTCTCCATTAGGAACTCGCAGGCTGCACTCATTTTCTTTCAGCCTTCAGTATGCAGCAATACATCCCTGTACAGCAACAAGAGAAAGTGGATCCCTTGGAAGAAGGCAAGAGATTGCTCCTTCAGCAGAGGTAAGATTTAGCAGGCAAAAGAGTCACCACAAGGATATTGGAGCCTGCAGGTTATTCAGAGACAACAGGGAGATCATGGAGCAACCAGCTAGAAGGCAGAGAGGACAGAAAGGACTTCTAGAGACCAAAAGAAACGAGCAGAGTCCTGCCACCGAGACAATCATTCAGTGTGCTAGAAGAAAGGACTTGCCTGCTCTGTCTGCTTAAGTTGAGTTTTCTCTACCTAGATACGTATTTCTGCCCACATAAAATCAGTGAGGGGAAAGTCTAGGCAGATACATCTCCAAGCTGTGGCCGACACATGGCCATATGACTTCTACAGAAACGCTTAATGACCATATTGTGGAACATGACACCGTTTTCACTTATCATGAACAGCAACTGGAAGAAAAGCACTGCTTCCTTTCACCTAGGAAACAACCTTCACCAATAATGTAACTACATGAACACTATTTCAGTTCATAAGAACAAGCTCTCTATGAAAGGTCTCTCACTCATTCAAAAAGCTTTTAGCCATTTAGGTCCCCCTGGCTGTTCTCCTTCAGTGTAAATAGCTAACAGCCAATTACTACTGTTTCTTGCTGGATGTAAATTACATGCAAAACAATTCCCTCTGCAACCCCTGTGAGAGCTACAGCTCACCCACTCACCTACCCTGTGCCCTGAATGATCTCACCACCATTAACTCCTTCAGGTGTTACTGACTTCTGCTACGCTTACAATGCACGTATGGTATCAACACAAGAACTAGCTCAGCATTACTCTAAAAACGTACACACACAACACCCTACCCCGCTGCTACACAGATGTTACACACAGATTACCTGTGCAACACCCTCCTGCCAACCAGACAAATTCCTTGGGAGGCACCTTTGGCACCTTATTTTGAAGAAAGTCCAAAGTGAATTATTACTCCGAATGACCTGAAATGCTGTGACACACTGGATTCACATCCATGAAAGTCAGTAAACACTGTCAAACTGGGGCAGCATAATGACGTGGCTCAGAAAGAGAACAGGCAAATACTCAAGAAGCTCCTCTTGAACAGAGAGGCCCATGGAAGAGCAAACCGTGATAATTCAAAAGAGCAATTCAGCAATAGGTTGATTACAAAAGGTATATTTTACAGCACATAACCCGGCAAGTGCTTGGTAGCTCTTTGCTAGCAAAGGGAATTGCTGGGAAAAAAGTCATATCCCTTCTGATCAGCAAAAGTGAGCCTCTGGGCAGGAGCACCCTGCAAGATGAAAGATGTGTTTGCAACACCAGACTGCCCTGCGTAATGACCGATGTTTAGTTTAGTGACAAAAGATTATCAAGTACTAACTCACACCCATCAATCGACGTGCTCACCTGCTCCATAGCCACAGGGGAATCACAAGACACGCGCACCCGACCTCCACAGCCTCCTGCTTATGACTCAACACGCGTATGTGCTGCGCTATAAAGTGCTACGCATCCTCAAGTGCCAGCTGACATCAAGGAGGCTCCAGGCACCCACCATTTACCTACAGCAGAGGCAGATCTTCAGCCAGCAGCACAGGAATTAACTAACACCAGCAATACAACTCAGCCCATGGGCTCAGTAGGCAGGAACAGTAACAACCTCCCCAAAAACCTTGGTGTGCATCCAAACCTACCAGCAAAGAACAGCAGTCACATCACTGCAATTCACTGCCACGCGATTTTCAAGTTGTCATGGGCAGGGGCAAGGTCCTGATTACAGTTTTTGTTGGTTCATTTGAAGGATGGAAAAAAGGTGGCCTTAAAAAACTGGCAGCCCCTACTTCAGCCACTGTTTTGTAATTAATTTAGATGTAAAATATGGTTAGAAATCTGTATCAAGCAATCAGATGAAAGGACACAGGTTTATGAGAAATAAAACTACCAAGATAATTCTCACCACATTAGCAGTTACATCATTTCACCAAAAAGTTTTCATCCAAGCTTCTCTGATGACAGCCAGTCTGCTGTGCTGTAAACATGACAGTAAGCAGTAAAACATGTTTATTTGTTGCAGCTGGCTGCACAAGTCACTATGGGTTTCATTCTGAACCATCACAGTATGTTATATAGCCATCAACACAACACTGAAGAGTTTACAAAACTGCCTGCTGTCATACTCTATTTTAAATATATTTTCACCCTGATTAAACAAAGGTAATAAATCATATTTTTATATAGGAGCAATATGCAGATCACACAACAATATATTAAAATTCCAAACTAATTTATGACACAAAGGTTTTAAAGCTACTAGAGCTTTCTCAGACAACTGAATTACAATATCCAACAATGGACTCAAACTATTAGGAGTGGTCATTTCAAGCATAGTTTAAATTGTCTTTGGAACTCTTTTACATAAATTACGCATCAAAATGAAAACATCAAATCATCTTTTATTCACTAAGTATATATTTTAAGCCCTTACTGTGACAGTACTACTCAC